AAGCTTAAATAATTTGATCCAAGATTCGTTTCAATATTCTTGTTCTATGTTACAAAGGCTTTTATGCACCTGTTATAGGTAAGTAAGCCGGCAGTCGGGGTCGCTGTTGGCGCGTCAATCAAAGATAACGGTCGGCGCATCGGAGCGCGCCGTGGACTTTCACTGCTGCGCACGCGCATGCTAACAAACGAACTGTCATATTATGAAAACTAGACACAAATTCTATAGTTAAGACTGCTAAGAATGTTCTCAGAGAGTTTATATAATATAGTGTTATTTTAATAGATATCGTTTAAACAACATAAGGATTATTTACTTATGGTAACAGAACGGAGAAAATTGCGATGGAGTATTTGATTCCGTTTATCTTAAGTGTTTAATCAAACATTTTATAGCGTGACTAGCTTTCGCCCTCGACTTCTTTCTAGTGGAATAAAAAAAAACTAATACTAAGCAGCCTACGTGTTCGTCCAGACTATCCTCTACATCTATGCCAAATTTCATGGAGATCCGTTTACCAGTTTAGGCAACAAACTAACAAACATCCATCTAAACTTTCGCATTTATAATATTAGTATGCTAGCTATAGAAACATTATATGTAGGCTTGTAAACGATCTTAATCAATAAATAAAGAAGCATTTATACTGAAAACAGTATGCTGATTATAGGCTACTTTTTATGTTAGTACTAGCTGTTGCCGTGCGGTTTCATCCGCGTGAAATTATGAAAATTTTATTTCATTGTTTATATTTGTCAAATTATCAATAGCCAATGTCAAAATGACATGACATGACATAACAAACCTTGGCAATGCTGCTACCTTGGTGTTGGCAGCAACTTATGGTCTCTTTCCCACATTAGGGTTTTCATCCAAATCATTTACCCCCTAAGCTCAATGGCGTGAAAATATATAGCCTAAAGCATGACGTAAGTGTAGGGCTCTTTATTAAAAAAACAATTATTCAAAAATATGCTGTAATTGCTGACATCTTAGGCAACAAAGCAGTGTGTGTTTACGCTTTATTATAATAGTATAGATAGTATAGATTGCGTGGACGAAGTCGCGGGCAACAGTTAGTCTATAATATAAGCGGAGAAAAATAAGTGTCCGAACAGTTTCTAGCTATACTTTTTGAGGTTATACGTTAATTTCATCTCGTAAATTAATAATACATAATATAGACATCTCTTTTAGAAAAGCATACGAGTATCTGCATATAGAAATTGTTTAGTTTGGGGTTGTGCGGTTACTGCGGTCGATCCGTTTACAAATGAGTTTTCTGTTTGAACGCATTTTCCTTTGTCGTTTCTCCTCATTAGGGACGTTGCTTGTTTTAAATACTAACCGTTTCAGAATAACTTTCCTTATAATAAGAAACATCGGTTATCTATACTATACTTACTATACTATTATAATAAAGCGTAAACACACACTTTGTTGCCTAAGATCTCAGCAATTACAGTATGCTTTTGAATAATTCTTTTTTTAATAAAAAGCCCTACACTGACGTCACGCTTTAGGCTATATATTTTCATGTTATTAAACTTAGGGAGTAAATAAATTGTAAAAAACCTTGCTGTGGGAAAGACACCATACAGTACAAGATGCCAACAACAAGGAAGATAGCTATGGAACGGTAATTTGTATTTTGATACTTGCATGTGAGACTTTGACAAATGTAAACAATTAAATTTTCACAATTTCATGCGGATGAAGCCGAACGGAAAGTGTTTTTAATAAAGCCGTTTTACTATTTTTTTCTTGTGGCAATATTTACAAATACAGTTTTTATTTATAGATGGCGTGGCTACCGCTGGGCTACACGAACACTCCACGTTACCAAGGTTTGTATTCATAATAATACACCAATTCCACTCACGTCAATTACTAGTAATGATGGTCAGATTAAGAGTTCACAAAGTAGACTCGTTGAGGTCTTTTGGCTATTGGGTTATCTAATTATCCTACTATTTCTACTTTCTTTTTATCTACAGAATATCCATAGACACGTCTTAATTTTTATTTTATAACACTAAGGGCCTTCATCAGCCAGTGGACGATGAAGGCTCAGAGCCCTTAAAATGACGTTACTGTCACATAAGGGAACAAAATACGATATTTCCATCATACATATATTTTACACGTTAGACTTTTATCAGACAATTTACAATTTGGTGGGACAGGCCCTAAATAAATTTCCGGTGAGTTCCACGGAGATCCCGGAACCCACTTATATTGCACTAGAGGCTGGCCACCGAGAAGGGCCCCAAAAGGAAGGGTATCTTTTTGAAGATTTCCCCCGATACCAAAAAAAAGGCCCTAAGTAAAACAATAGTCATATTTGTACTATCGTTTTTAGAGCAATTAACGAGGATGGCAATAGTATTAGGGAAAGGTATTCAATTATAATAGACCCATTTCATATATTGGTTACTAACTCAGGAAGCGATCAAGCTTAGTTGGTTTAGCTTACGAAATACCGTTCCGCTTGACAGATCGTGTGAACACACGCTTCATGGGATCTTTGTGTTTGTGCAATACTTGTGCAATATACACTATTGTACCACAAATGAAAGACTTGTATAACAATATTCAAACTTAAGGAGTGATCGAGAAGCGACGACTGAGATAGATTAACCTGGAGAACAAAAACCGATCCTACGGGTGTAGGGTGCTAGGAGCTGATAATAATGATCAAACGTTAAACACCCTATTCCCATATTTGACAAGTCATATCATACTTCATACTAATATTATAAATGCAAAAGAAGAGATGGATGGATAGATAGATGGATGGATGAATGTTTGTTAGAGTTCAGCCTAAACGGCTGAACGGATTTCGATGAAATTTGGCATAGACGTAGAGGACAGTCTGGAAGAACACATAGGCTACTCACTTTTGTGTTTTATTTAATTCCACGCGGACGGAGTCCCGAGCGACAGCTAGTTATAAAATAAATATAACTGATGTTACTAAGTTATTTTTGTACGTATTCGTATCACGTAAAATCTACTGGGCCGATTTCAAAAATTCTTTTATTATCAGAAAGATAATTTATCTGTGAGTAACATAGGCTGTATTTTTTAGTATTTATTAATTTCACGTGGGCGAAGACGCGAGTAACAGTGAGTTAGAAATAATTTGCGTAATTTGTCAATTGTCTAACCAATCAAGGTATAAAATATTGTTGTAAATGCAAAATCGCGAGCCGCAATAAAGTTTGTATGTCACTATACTAATCTGACGCGCGCACACTTTTGTGATATTATATCATTTGACATGTAATCCAAAAGCGTATTGCGTTATGTATCCGTTGCATTATTAATTTACATATCCGTATCATATTACGGTAATAAAACCCGTAGAATATAGTTTTCTGTGATATATTTGCTTACTGATCGTTTAGGAATGCTAAAGCATTTAATATAAGATAACAACTTCATATCAAAGAAAAGTTGAATGAACAATCACTACCTTTCGGTTAAAAAATTATCAAAATCGGTCCACTAGCGGCGGAGGTATACCGTAATACACATAAAAAAAACATACAGACGAATCGAGTACCTCCTTCTAGTGGGAAGTCGGTCAAAAAGCTTATTCAAGTAATGGATTTGAACAAAAGATAATTTTATCTTACTCAATGATAATGCTTGAGATTGAGATCGTACATAACCTCGTGTCCGTGTACCGAGTTTTGTACTTGCAAAGGGACATAGCACGCTATCGCCGTGACACGCTGGAATTGAAACACGCTGGCTTACAAACACGTTAGCGACAAAACGAAGGCATTGTAATCGTAACACGCTGATGCATCCGATTGGGCTAATAATTATCTATATCTATACTAAACATATGTATAATAAAATTGGAGGTTCTATTTGTAATACCAAAAGGAAAATTCCAGATTTCGGAAAGATGATATATTTGATGATTATATTTGCGTTGCTTATAACGAAAATCGCATTTAAAAAAATGTCTCTGTCCGCACGCCGCGTTTGTTCCGGGTAATCTCCAAAACTGCTAGGTCAATTTCGACCGGATTTTCACTGAAGGGTAGCTGACATAGGCCGGCATATTATAAGCTACTTTTTTTTTAATTCCGCGCTGTCAAAATGGCGACCGGACCGTTATCTCTCGAACGGGTGGTCCGATTTGGATGGGACTTTGACTGAAAGGTAGATGCACGCGGGAATGTTTTGCGCTAACGAAGTTTGCTGGCAACTGCACGTCCTTTATAAATATAGACAGCTTTAGTCGCCGTCGTGTCCAAAATATTATGTCACGCTGTCTCAACACGCTGGCGCCTTATCACGCTGTATCCATTGACTAACGTGACAAAAAAGGACCGCGCACGCGTTCTGGTTACACGAGCGTCCTTCGCGACAATAGTGTAACATTGCTCAGTCGCGAATACTAAAAAGCGAATCGAATATTAGCTCTGACGGTATTTGCATGAAGTAACTTAAAGAACTTAAGACGTGAAATATTAGGAACGATACTTTAGCGTTTTTGAGAATTTACTTTTAGTCAAATTGTTCCACTACAAGATACTAGGAATGCGAATATAAAGCCCGCTACAGACGCCCAGTTATAGAAAGAGTTATTTAAAGAATCGAACATAAAGAGAATACAAACTGAATAGTTCAACTGACAGTTAAAATTTTGCTTAACCTAACCTCTTCCATCATTCGTTTACTACGCCCTCCCGCTGTTAGTCCAAAATGTTAGTATACTCTGTATAGAATATATAGTACTAGCTGTCGCCCGTGACTCCGTCTGCGTGGAATTAAAATAAAAACAAAAGTGAATAGCCAAATGTGTTCTACCAGACTATCCTCTACATCCGTACCAAATTTCATCGAAATCCGTTCAGCCGTTTAGGCTACAAATACTAACAAACATCCATCCATCTAAACTTTCGCATTTGTAATATTAGTACGATAGTATGATGCATTAGAATGAGGAACTCTCAACAATACATGGAGACGAATTCAAGGTTTTTGTCTGGATGACGTCATTATCCGTGACTTGTGCGACATTTCACGCGCCGGTGGTCACTGTCCGCGCGACGCGTTCTCAAAACGAACGGTCAAGCGAACGTAAATAAATCTTGAATGAAATGCATAATAAATTGATACAATATTACGATGTCGCTAGGTATCTTGGTTGTGATGTGATAAGATACTCTTAATAACTTGCCTTTCATACATGTTAACTTGTACCTATGCTTAAGCCTGCCACAGATGGACATTTTTAAATGAACAGTCTATTCGGACTGAGTATAATGTAGCTATAGCAAAAGTAGCTTTGAAAAGAGATGTAATAAGTAAACAAAATTTATAGATCAGGGGTGGCGAACCACTGGCATGCGTGGCATACATAATATTTTGATCGTTTAAAATCATAAAAACACTACGAACAAAGTATAAAGACGTTGCACTATAGAATTGACTTAAAAATCGCAATAAAATTCATTCGATAGCTCATCTAAGATCGTATAAATCATTTAAAAAAAATTGCACTTTGATGCATAAATGTTCGCCACCCCTGTTATAGTTTTTCATACTATTTTACAATGTAATTACACAGATTTCAACACTTATTTTATTTCTTAAATCCTGTCTTCTTTTTTATACGTAAGGAAGTTGATACGTGAAATATGGTGAAAATGTTCTTTGTTGGTAGGCGGTGGAAGGAGGATGGCAGCGCAAGAGATGGCGCGCTGTGGGAGGATCCAGACTTCCCTGCAGATATTAGCTCTATTGGATGTCGACGATCACCGCCAGATCTGCTCTGGATGCGGCCACATGTAAGTTACCTTAAAATTGCTTCTTTTGACGTTAAAAATGGATAGTTCTAAGTTCAACTTTTGTTGTTCAACAAACGAGCTTGCAGTCACTTTAATTCAATAAAAATAACGTCGTTGCTTACAGATGTCACAGAATATAAAAGGCGAGAGATAGACAATTCTCTTTTAGCACCTTTTACACTCCCTTTTAAAGACAATCTTATAGGTTAATAACGGAAAAATTTACAGTTTGTCTACAATCCAGACCAAAATTGTAGATTATCCCCAAATAAAATATAGACACGTGTCATAGAAGGTCATAGTCTCTTGTAACCTCAAATGTTACCATCAGTGACATTACGGTCACGACTATTGTAATATTGAACAGCGTCCCGCCACTTGCGCAAACACAATTCAAAATGGCCGCGCCTCGTCACGTTCGCGCCAAAATGTTCACTGTTATTAAATTGTATTTTGTTTTAGGGTTAATATTATAAATGTCTCGGTTAAGTCCTTACGACTAAATAAGACTTATTCGGAACTCAAGATTAAGTTTTTTTTTTCAAATAGACTCTGAAAAAATTTAGGATATTTGTGTAAATGTCCTTGTGCTGTCTGACGATGTAACTCGAGTTATTGTTAGCAAATACATATATATTTAAAATATTTCTTTACATATGAATTAGTCACGGCTAATGTCAAATAGTTTGCATCACAAATATTGTAACAAAAATGTAAGTCATTTTTCGTTAGATTTTATGAAGATCTTAATGATCTTAGAAACGTTTTTATTGCATTTACAAACATATCGTAATCAGTAACATGTAATCGATGCCTGTAAAATGAAAAAGGTGAGCAGAAGTATATTTTTTTATAAGCGAAGGGCGCAAACGAGCGGCGGGTTCACAGAGGTGGTCAACGACGCCCATGGAATGGACATACGCAACACCAGAGGAATTACAGATGATTTGTTATTGTGCCATTCGCCTCTGTGATAATACATTTTTATATGTCCTTAATTCATTTATGTAACATTGCATATTTAGTCTACGGTTTTCGGATATTTTTTTAGAAGCGAAATTGTTTAGTTACTAGCTATTGCTCGCGACTTCATTCCCGAAATTTAATGATGACGTTATTCACGGATAAATTACCTTTCTAACGTTAAAAATTTTTTTTTAATCGACCTAGTAGGTTTTGGACCTATTTTCTACATCTATGCCGAATTTCATAGAGATCCGTTCAGCCGTTTAGGCTACAAACTCTAACAAACATCCATCCAAACTTTCGCATTTATAATATTAGTAAGAAGTAAGATTTAAGTGACATTTGGCTACTACTCGTATAATTCTTACTTTCGCTGACCACAGCACTCACTTTTACATTTTACATTTCGTCTTAACTCTCCTTTCCAGTGTGCAAGTTAGACATATGATTTCTTTTAGCCGAGATTGCACGCTTGAGTTACAATATTACACATTAATTTAAAAAATTATAGCCCGTATTACTTCTGGATAATGTTACTTTCTAATTACGAAACTAAGTCCGGGTCTTTACGATTACAAACATATATTTCCTTACAAAATCATTGTAGATAAAAATAGTTTTTTATTATTTTGATGAACCGTTATTAAAGGTAAGATTTGCATAAGAATTGCATCAAGAGTTTTTGTTTACTAGTCGAACATATCATATTCATACTAATATTATAAATGTGAAAGTTTAGATGGATGGATGGATGTTTAGTAGAGTTTGTGGCCTAAACGCCTCAATGGATTTCGATGAAATTTGGCATATAAGTAGAAGATAGTCTGGAAAACACATAGGCTATTCATTTTTTTTTCAATTCCACGCGGACAGAGTCGCGAGCCAAAGGCAGTTGGTCAATAAATGTTCTGTTACGTTGTGACCTTTTGAACTTGAAACCAATTTCAAAGACTGAGCCTATAATCAACGCAAGCGGCTGACAGAAATAGATAATGTAATTTAATTTATGCTCTTTATCCGAGAGATATATGCACACACAGTCGTTTTTTTTTAAATTATACATTACTTGTGGATAACTTTTTTATTATAAATTCTTGGATAGGAATTTTCGGTCGCGTGCGGTATCAAACACACCGCCAGCGGAAATGAAAAGTTAAAGAAAGGTGTTATATTGTTGGCCGGCAGTAGAAGTGGCGGTTGCAATATTTATTGGCATCGACCGCGGAAATAAGCTTGCGTTTTTGCAACAATGTGCAGCGTTACGTGACGTAATGTATCGCTGCCGCTTCCACAGCTGTATTAAGACTCAAAATTTACGAAGGCTTGAAGTTAGCTGCGATCAAATGTTGATTTACTACTAGAGAGAGCGTTAGGTATTATATGAAAGGCTCGTCGAAGCCAAAAATTGTATGTTTTCTGCAAAACGTCGGATTTTTGACTGTTTACTCATTTGCGAAATGCAGTTCTTTACGCATTGCTTTTCATGCGATATTACGAACAGCTATAAAGTTTGCATTGTGTTATACTTTATTTAGTATGGTAATTGTGCGTAGTGATTTGGTATATTGATTATATATTATACCAATAGTAACAATGTTGTCGCTATACCCAGTTACTTTGTTGTCCACGGGAACAAATAAAGCGCTACGTTCCCATGCTAGGTACTTACTAAGAAACCATGTCAGCAGTCGGCACAGTTGTTTAAATATAACAACGTATTTGCATAAAAATTTCACGTTAGGGCGTCTGTACATGGACAGTACGATGTCGAGTCGATACCCGCATTGTTAAGTAGTTTATTTAAAAACTAGCTGTTGCCCGCGACTTCGTCCGCGTGAAACTTAAAAATAATGAAAAGGATATGGGAAACTATAGTCTATGTTACAGATAAATTACCTTTCTAACGGAGAAAGAATTTTTAAAATCGACCCAGTATTTGTTGAGCATTTTACAATCAAACAAACAATGTTTTCCTCTTTATAATATTAGTAAAGATTAGTTAAACTGAAGAACGGTTCTTACCATCAGTGAAAGACCTTATCCCTTTCGTTCTTCCATGAATTCTAGTAATTTAATTTTTTTTCTTTTATCCGGAGATCATTGAGAACAATTGAAATTATGTTAATTCTTTCGCCCCCAACTCCGGTCGCGTAGAATTTAAAAAAAAAACAAAACTGAGTAGCCTATGTCTTCTTCCCAACTATCCTCTACGACTATGCTAAATTTCACTGTGAACCGTTCAGCCGTTTAGGCTACAAACTGTAACAAACATCCATCCATCTAAACTTTCGCATTTGTAATATTAGTAAGATTTACTAAAGTGGATCTAAATTGTATCAACTTGCATCAGGAGTTGAGCGCAAAACCACGATTCCTGGGGGACACGACACTGGAAGGTTCAGACACACCAGCGACAGCATCCAGGCTTGCAGCCCAGTCCACTGACGACCTCACGCCAGACAAACAAACAGATATAGAAACTGATGAAGAGTTTGCTGCTAGGTGAGTTCCCTTTACATCATCACCAGCTCACTATAACTCCCCACTAAGGTGCTCGAAGCCTACCCTCAGTAAAGGAGTGACTAGGCCATAGTCAAGTACGCTGGCTCACTGCGGGTAGGTTGACTTCACACTTCTCTGATATGTGCAGGTTGCATCACGATGTTTTCCATCACCATAACGTCGAATGGATTATGCATATATAAAATTCGAAAATCATATTGGTACGGCGGGATTCGAACCCATCACCTAGATTCCTAGTTAAGTTCTTAAGCCTCTAAGCCACCGACGCTACATGCAACATCCCTTTACATGCAACATCAATTTAAAAAAAATCCCTTTCACGTAGATAAGGTTAAAAATGAAAAGAAGATAACGTAAGTATCTATTCGAAACCAGAGAACGACACAAAAAAAAAATATGTAATTTGTCTTTTTTAGATGGTGTGTAGATGTAGGCGAGGTGGGCGACAGTAACTTGTGTTGTGCGGCGGCCGCACTAGCCCTCACGCCGCGCCTGCTCGCACGCGCTGCGCCGCCGCACTCCTTCCGACAGGGATACACTGGCGCGTTCAGGTAATTAAAAATAATTGATTAAATATCTTCTAAAGTTAATAGTTAAAAAAACAATAGCACTTCAATTACTAAACAAATTAAATCTAATGCGCGGTTCACACTTGGCCAGTACTATAACTGGACTGGCAATCAACTGGCGTTGTGCGAACAATAACTCACGCCAGTGAGTGAATATAATTTATCACTGGCTTTCGCCACTATCCAACTGTACTGGTCAAAGTGTGAACTCGGAATAAATGTCTAAAAGAGAATATTCTAAATGACTAGCACTACTTACTAATATTATAAATAAGATAGTGCAGATGGATGGATGTTTGTTAGTTTGCTGCGGAAGATGCTCAATGAAATTTGGCCAAGATATAAAAGTTAATCTAGACGAACAAAGGCTACTTAGTTTTTTAATTGTGCACGGACGGAGCCGCTGGCGAAAGCTAGGGAATACTTTATGTGTAAAGACGGTATAGATCAGTTGTATACGTCAATGGAAACAGACCAGGTCAGGGTCGTGTGAGCATTGAACCGGCGGGAAGTCGTGATTCCAACATTATAGTTTTTGTGCTTACATTGCTCGCGTTTGTGATTCGTCTCGCGGAATAATGCGTGTCATCTACACTATGAAATTTCACTTCCATGTAAACGCATTTCTTCATTTACTTGTTTAACTGTTTTTATTACGATTTAAAAGATAATTTACAAATTACTACACTAGCTTTTGCCCGCGACTTCGTCCGCGTAGAATTAAAAACAAAATTGAGTAGCCTATGTGTCCTTCCAGACTATCCTCTACGTGTTTGTAGCCTAAACGGCTGAACGGATTTCGATAAAATTTGGTACAGATGTGGAGGACAGTCTAGAACAACAGATAGGCTACTCACTTTGTTTTTCTAAAATCCACGGGGACGGAGTCGCGGGCGAAAGCTAGTATAAGTATAAACATAATAAGTATAAATAAAGAAACTTAAGTATTTATTACAAATACCATTTACTTTCATATTTGTGCTGTATTTCAAAATGCATGACTCCGCTCTGTTTGTTTTGAAACACTTTATAATGTTTTGATAACTTAAGGTTTTTCTGACTCATTTTAAAGTGTTCACAATTGGTACATTTATGCGTAATTTGTATATTTGTTATCGCTTGAACATATACGAGTAATTAAAATACAATTACTTACATAGGCAGTACCGGTGTTAACAATGTCACCTTTGACTTAACTATCGCACGACTGTTTAATCTCGCTTTGATTACTATGAACTTATGGAGGTGCGTACACTACTCGATTTCTAGTTGTGCAACAAAACAGTTGAATTGGCTACAAAATAATCGACAATCGTACAACAGTTTGTGCGATAGTTTAGTCAAAGGTCTCCGCTGTAACCCTTCCTCCCCCAAAGATATGGTAAAAAGAGGGCGCCGTATCTCTCACTCAGGGCGCTGACTGACTGATAACGGTAACTGAATATATCTTAGTTTCTGAAAAGCAGATTGTGATGAATGACCACGTCGTTATACAATGGAAACCGTATATGTAGGTTCCAGTTCTGGGTATGGGGCTCGTGGCGCTGGATAACGGTCGACGACCGGCTGCCGACGCGCCGCGGCCGCCTCATCACCAGCCGCAGCGCGCTGCCGCACGACTACACAGTGCCACTGCTAGAAAAAGCTTATGCCAAGTGAGATATCGTCAACCTGACTATTAACAAAGAGTCCGTTATAGATACTACATGTACTTAAGCCAGTGCATCTCCTTCACTTGCTGCAGATATCTGTGGGCAGCGGTTCTTTAGTTGTTGTAGCGAAATGAGTATGTTCCCTACAGATTGTACGGCAGCTACATGTGCCTGCGCGAGGG